TTTATAAACTTCAATTCACCTGACCAAATCTCCGGCAATCTTAATATTTCAATATCTGATCATATAGCTCAATTTATCTGTATTCCTAGAAAAACTAACCACCCTAAAGTAAGTATATCTTACAGACGATGCTTCAAGACCTTTAACAAAAGTATATTTATTGAAGATGTTTCCAACATTAACTGGGATCTCTATATTAAAAAAGATGATGTAAATCAATCTATCAGTTTTCTTTTAAAGACATTTGAAAACCTATTAGATCAGCATGCTCCATACAAAAAACTAACTAAGCAGCAAATTAAACTTAAATCAAAACTATGGATCACCAATGGCATACTTAAATCTATTTCCATTAAAAACAGACTATATAAAAAATGCACAAAATGTAAAGATATCAGTACTAAAAATAAACTGTTCTCTAAATTTAAATTTTATAGAAACAGAATCAGCAATCTACTAAAAGTTAGTAAAAATTCCTATTACACCACCTATTTTAGTAAAAACTTAAACAATATTAAGAATACATGGAAAGATATAAAAGAAATCATTAATATAAAACCTTTCTTCAATAATTCAACTCTCAATCTTAAATTGAAAGAAAATATTATCACAGATCAAACTACTGTATCGAATATGTTAAACAACTTTTTTGTTACTATCCAAAACAAACTTCAAAAAAAAATCATATCTTTAACATCCAAATTTACTGACTATATCAACTCTCCATATTCTAAATCGTTCTTTATTGATTCTGTCACATAGAATGAAATCTCTAATCTTATTAAAATCACTCTTATAATTGAAAAAGCTTTGGTCCTAATAGCCTTCCTTCATTCCTTCTTAAACTTATTCCAGACATAATTTCTAAACCTCTTAGTGTTATTATAAATAACTCATTTCAAAATGGTTTATTCCCAGATGCTTTTAAAGTTGCTAAAGTCATTCCGATATTTAAAAAAGGTTCTACATTGGATATGTGCAACTACCGTCCTATCTCTCTTCTACCGTCTACCAACTACCGTCCTATCTCTCTTCTACCGTCTTATCTCTCTTTTAAACCTAAGTAAACTCTTTGAAAAAGCTATGTGTAAGAGGCTCTATGCATTTTTAAAAAAATTTAAATGCCTTTACAAACACCAGTATGGGTTTTGTGCATATCATTCCACAACCCACTCACTTATTAAAGTTACTGAGTCTAATAGAAAAGCTCTTGACAATAAAAACTTTGCATGTGGCGTCTTTGTAGATCTACAAAAAGCTTTTGATACAGTAGATCATTCTATCCAACTCAAGAAATTAGAATATTATGGAATCAGAGGAATACCTTTTAAATGGTTTACTTCATATCTTCACAACAGATTTCAGTTTGTCTCAGTCAATAACTCAAAATCTACTCAAATAAATTGTTCCAATGGTGTCCCTCAAGGCTCAGTATTAGGACCACTGCTTTTTCTTCTATATATTAATGACCTTAATAACTCAATTAAGTTTGCAACTCTTTATCACTTTGCTGATGATACTAACTTGCTCATTATCAACAAATCTTTAAAAAAAATTAACAAATTCATTAATCATGATCTTGGCAATTTAGTTCAGTGGCTTCGCTCAAATAAGCTTTCTCTCAACTGTAGCAAAACTGAACTGGTCATATTCAAATCTAATAAAACAAAAATCAATAAAAATTTTAACTTTAGATTAAGTGGCCAGAAAATCATTCCTGTAAACTCTATCAAATATCTTGGAATTATAATTGATTCCAACCTATCGTTTGTGTCCCAAATTAAAGACTTAGCCATAAAATTGAGCAGATCAAATAGAATGCTGCAAAAGTTCGCCATTATGTCAATCTGGAAACACTATTAAATATATATCATGCCATTTTTAGCTCACATATACGATATGCTTGTCAAATATGGGGACAATCTCAACAGCAAGCAGTTTTAAGGATATCACATCTTCAAAACAAAGTTTTAAATATAATACATTTTCGGAATTACAAATTCAATCCTAATGTGCTTTATCTTACTTCTAAGATCCTTAAACTATGTGACCTTGTTCAATTCTTGAATTGCCAGTTTGTCTGGAATCACCAACACAAAAACCTACCTCTTACCTTCAACAATTTCTTCCCAAAAAAAGCAAATAATCGTTACTATCTTCAATCAATTGATAATCTGAATCTTGCAGTCTTAAAACATTGTTCTCTTACTTATGGATATAAGTCCATAAAAAACCAAAGTATAAAATCTTGGAATAACCTTCCCTATGACATAAAAGCTCTCCATTCAATCTATATTTTTAAGAGTAACCTATTCCATTCTTTCCTAATCAAATACAGTTAATAAATCCAAAAATATGTATTTGTGTTTAAGTGTTTGTGATACACACATGTGAATAAGTGGTGAGTGTATATGTATGTATATTTATGTGTGTATGTGTATATTATGTGTGTATGTGTATATATGTGTATATATGTGTGTGAGTGTGTGTGTGTGTGTGTGTGTGAATGCGAATATGTGTTGGTGTATATAATATATACATATATAATATTAATAAATGTGTTTATATGTATTCATGTTTGTATATGTGTATGTATGTGTGTTATGTTATGCTATGTTTGTATATGTGCATGTATGTGTGTATATGTATGTGTGTATGTATATGTACGTGTGTGTATATACGTTTATTTGTGTATAGTATATACGAATCTACATATATGGGTGTATATTATGTATGTATACATACCTGTATTGAATACAGGGGGATATAAGTATATGTGTTTATATGTATTTGTGAACGTAAGTTTGTATGTGTGTATTTGTATGTGTCTGTATATGTGTGTACTTATGTGGCTAAAACTAAATTACTAGTATTTTTTTATGATTATTGTAATTATTTTTATTTCTGTCATTTTATTTTTATTATAATCACTGTACTTTTATCATTGTATTGTTATTACTGTTACAACTACAACTTTTATTATTATCTTTGTTAGTATTTTTACTCTTTCAACTTTTAATGTTCGTTTTGTTACTGCTGTGGATGATTAATATTACTATTTGCATTAATCAATATATTTATTAGCTTTTATTTACAAGGTTTTTACTTAAGATTAGTACATGTACGATTTGTAAACTTCCGTGAATGTAACAACTATTTCAGAATATATATGAATTGAATTGAATATATCAGATAAATATTTACCAACACCTAAACTTTGTGTATAAATATACCAATAATCTAACTCCTAAAATCTTTACATATATATACTATATATATTTAATTAGAAATTTGTATTTTAAATATCTTTGTTTATGACTTTGTGTGACTATTAGTATTTATAAACATTATACCTTTTTTTCTGACAGACTTGTATTTTTAAATATTTTCTTTTCTTTTTTTAACTATTGGCGACTATTTATATTATTAAATGCTATACATTCTTTACTCACTACATGTATTTTTAAATATTATATCTTCTTTTTTGACTAATTGAGGATATTTGTACTTTTAATTAATATATCTTCTTTTTTTCTTTATTTGCATTTTAAAATATTATATCTTCTTTTTTACTATTTTTTTTGCTCAATTTTCTACTTGATTTATTTAATATATTTTACTATTATTTTTATGATCTTTAGGGACTCAATGAAAAGATTAGGTTGGTAGTTTTCCATCCATTTTTTCTTTGAGCCCCTATCTGTTTATTAATTATATATTAGTAATTAAATTTTATTTTTTGTGAAAGGGTATTGTAGTTTATATAAACTGTTAAACAAAAAAAATAATAATAATACAACGCAGCTTAACTAATTACAAGTTGTTTTCTGTCATTTCGTTTTCCAGTCTAGAAACAACGCCAACTTTTTTTTAACTTTCTTAACGGCCAGCAAAATGTTTTCTCCTATTGTCCTGTCTTGAATTGTATAGACGTCAAGTAGCTCTTCAGTAACAAGAATAGCCAATTGAGCAGTTTGTAATATATCAATTGATTCAACAATATCTATTGAATAATACTGCAATGCTTTTATCCTTTCAGCCTAACTCATATTATTAGCAATGTCACCTGTTCTTCGTCTAATTGTTTATCTTTAGAATAAGATTTTATTTAAAGTTTTTAATTTTTTAGGGCAAATATTTCGAACACGATTTCAAGAGATTCCTTAACAATTTCCCCATCACTGAATGGTTTACAATTTAAAAGAAGACTCACTTAATTGCAACAGTAGCTCTTTCTGTTTTGCTTCTTTTTAACAAATCTTGTTGGCTAACTTTTTATTTTTTTCGGTACCTCGTTGATAAACTGATTTTAGATTTTTAAACGTTTTAAATTATAGCGCTTTCTTAAATTATATTATTTGGTCACTGATACAGATTTATTACATATTAAACATACTGGCACCAAATTAAATTTACCAAAAAGGTATTTTGTTTGTTATTCACTGTTACACGACATTCTTTGTTTATTGTTTTAAAGAACTTTGGCTAAATTTGCAAATAATAAATAACAATTCCGAATAAATTTTCATAACTAAAAGATTTTATAAAGACTAAAAACTACGATAGAGAATTGTAAATATTTTTTTTACTAGTAAATTAGTAAACTTTACATTTCTTTGTAAATTAATTTCTGTCGGTGATATTAATAAAAATTTATACAACTGAAGGGCCGGACAAATGGTTGCTGAGGACAACCATTTGAATCAGAAAAAAAAAAAACTTTTTTCCTTTCCTGATTCCAATGAATCACAAAACACAACATGCAGTCCGCGGGCCGAATTGTGGCTATTCCTGCTATAGAATAGAATGGAAACAAAATCTTAAGCCATCTTTAAAGTCTTTTTATTAAATGCTCTGTAAAAATGTAAGTTCAAAAAACAAAACCTAAAAACTATATTTTTATTTTTAATTGCGCGATTGTTAAGCCTGTAGGTAGTAGGCCATGGTTGTTAAACAATTAAACAATTAGTTAAAACAGGTTGAAAAAAAAAAAACGAATATATATAAAAAGTATAATCAACGCAAAATATAATACAATGTGCTGTCTTATGTCTTAAGTATATACAAACATATTTAAAAATAAGATTGTAGTGGTTTCTTTATGCAACTAACTGATTGTTTGTCAATTTAGGCAATCAACGTATTGAAGCAGCTTATCCAAGTACCTGATAGGGTAAAGCAAATTAGAGCGTCAATACAAAATGATTTACTATGAGCTAAGGTACAAAAATAATCTTAGTGCTTCATCAGCTGGTTTGTTCGACAAATATTAGCACGAATTTCATTTCATTTTGTAGCTACATGGGTGAAATAAGCACCATTAAATGGCCACTGTCAGCGGCACTGTTTAGGAGATCTGGAGCGACACGAGCTAAATGACCTTGAGCAAATTCGCAAGGCGGAAATATATGGATGACGAAAGTTGTCTAAAATACAAAAAATGCATAAGTAATTAACGAGTTAAAAAATATATCAAAATTAATGTTTATATATACGTGAAAGATACAGAATAAAACATATCGTCGGGGATAGTGCAAATCCGCGAAACTAGCATTGGATAGTACTGCGTATCTGACAAATGTAGCCAATTTGAGATTTCGTAGACAATGCACTCAGGATTCTAATTGGCAGCCCCCAATACTGAGGTTACTTTCATTTGACCTAAAGAATGCAGGTTATTGCCCCAGAACAATACTGCGTATCTGGGACTAGTAAATGTCAGTACCGCGTATGTGATCGGTTATCATCTGGAGCGTAACTGAAATGTTGTTACGTTTTGTCAAATTCGGTTTATTAATGAAAATAATCAACACCATATCAGTTAAGTTTTAGTTTTATTATCTATATAAAAATGTAATAAAAAAATAACATTTTTTTTGTTCATTAACTATTTTTTTAAAAATCGTTTTACAAAAAGAAAAAAACGTGTCTTTAAAAAAAGTTGCCTCATTAAGTTTAATCGTTTTTTTAAAAAAAAACAATAATGCGCAATTATGTTTTTATAAAGAGAAAAGTGTTTGTTTACATTTTTTGTCGATTAATACTACTTTTTTTTTTATTTATTTTTACTATTTATATAATTGCATGACTATACCTTTTGTATAGGATTAGTTTCCCTACTTCTAAATTCAATATGATGGGAGTCTACTAGTTTCGTTAATATTGGCATTGTAAATAACTTTAAATAAAATTGGCATTTAAAATAATTTTAGATAAAATTGGTATTTAAAAAAATTTTCAGTTCAAATTTCATCTTAACCGCGCTAATGTAATTAGCACGGTTAATGTAATTAGCACAAATACAAGGCAATGTCATTAGCACGGTTTTCCTTACAAAATTTAGTCATTAGTAATGACTGAATATTGTAAGGTAAACATTATGTACGTTAGCTAGTTTATATAAATGCAATATTTAGTTTAAAATATTACCAAATTATATAAATCATTATGAATATTTTTTCTTTTTTTATATAGCTGATGCATTTGGATTTTTTTAGATTAGATAGATAAAAAGTAAAATGGCGAATAGCAGCTAACTCTTGTCAAGAAGATAAAACACATCAACTTATGACATTGAAAGCTTTAAAGAAAATGACTGACGATTTACCATATTTTACTTCACCAAGTGAATTACCAACTTTTGATATTTCAGTAGATGATTCTGTTGCTGACCCAAATAAAAATCTAATCTCTAAAAAAACAGATGTTGAACAGCTTTCACTCAATCAATAGACAGCAATAACAATTTTTTTCATGAAAGAAATTTGGAACCTGAAGAAGCAGTTGAATCTAGGGAAAGGAAACAAAAAGCATAACAAATGTCTTCAAAAAGATTTAGAAATAAGAATTTGAGAATGCTAGGTCATGAATACACAGATTTTAGAAAGACTTGAGGGGAAAATTTTTTACAAGTAGTTGTAAGACCTGTGCGAAAACTTGGAGAGGCTTGTAAGTCAAACAAATGCTTACTAAGTAATGTGATTAACTTCAAAAAGTTTACAGAATAAGTATAAGACTGAACTTACAGACTTAAGACTTACAGAATAAGTATAAGTGTAAGATTAAATATTTTTAAAAAATTTTGGGAGATAAGCTGGATAGCCAAGAGAATCTTTGTTTCATCTTTAGTTGATAAAAAATTGACTAAAAGAAACAGTTAGGTACTGGCTAGGAGAAAAATCTAATAGGGATACAACAACAAAACGTAATTATCTATGTTGTTCATGTAAAACAGGAAATATTACAGAGCACGAGTATCTACAACATGTATCACGGAAAGATTTAGCTAGACAGGAAAAAGTTTTTGACAAAATAGCTGCAAAAAATGAAATTATGTCTGTACTTGAAAGCCAGTGCATTGTATTTTAAAACAAAACTGATGGTTCATAATTTTACAATATACAATCTTTGCACTAATAAAGTAAAGTATTATTGGTTTGATGAAACAACAACTGATTTAAAGGCATCAACTTACGCATCATTTTTTGTTGATTATTTAGATAAATTAATTGATGAATCCCCAAAAGATGTCATAATTTTTACTGATGGATGTACATCACAAAATAGAAATGCCATTGTTTCGAACGCACTTCTGCAATTGGCAATGCAAAAAAAAGTAGTCATCACACAAAAATTTTTAGAAAAGGGTCATACTCAAATAGAGGTAGATTCAGTTCATTCAGTAATAGAAAGAAAGTTAAAACACCGTGAAATATTTTTACCTAGTCAATACTCTTTAGTTACTAAAGAAGCTAGACGCAATCCATCTCCATATGAGGTAGCAATGGTAGACCATACATTTTTTAAAGATTATAGTATTAAAAGCTACCTTATTTATGATACAATCCGTCCTGGAAAAGGTAATGGAGCAAAATATGTGGTTGATATCAGAGTTCTAAAATACAATCCCAATGGTACATTTCAAACTTAGTTACAATGAACAATTCAAACAATTACAACAAAGACCAAAAAAAGTTCAACCAGTGATTCCACCACAACTCTTTACTGAAAGATTGCCAACCTCAAAATCAAAATATGAACATTTACAACAAATAAAAAGTGTTATACCCAAAGATTGCGATAAATTTTATGACAACTTACCTTACAAAAATGATTTTCTTTTATTCTGTTAAACTATAACTACGATGACAGTTGTTGTTTTTTGAGTAGTTGAACAGTTCTTATACTTTTTTGATGTTTTTTTTAATTTTAATGTTAATGAGTAACATTTTTCTTAATTTATAATCATAAAGATTTATTTATGAAGTTATAAAGATATATTTTTGTTAGATAGCTGAAGATGTTCTTTTATTGTTACGAGTTTATTTCGTGATATTATTCCTAAAACCTGCTCTATTGTTTCTAATAAGGTAATTGAAAAGACTGTACAGGCTGAGTTAAAGGTAAGATTGAAGCAAACTGTTATTGAAATGTTGTTATACTATCAATATTTATATTTTGAAGAGATTTCAGAATATATATTTTTTTAATTAAGCTTGTAAGGTATAAGGTTTTAAACAGATATTACAATTCATATTATCGTTTGATTATCATATATTAATAATTAGTAATATTACTAGTTTGATTTCGATACCGCATAACTTACTATATGGGATACCATTGTGGTGAAATTGTGGTTAAATCAAATCCGCGTAAGTGTTCTAGCGACTAAATTATTAACTATAGCACCTAATAGCTATTATTGACTATAAAAAGAACATCAATAAAACTCTTTAAGCCAAAATGAGCTCAAAATCTGTTTTGATAAAAAAAATATACAGTTTTAACTTTCTCCTGTAAAACTATCTGCAATGCAGATACGCGCTCCCTACCTGTAGTAGATCCACGAATTTGTACTATCCCCGACAATATCAAAAACAGTATTATGTAGCTCTCAAAATTAAAGTACAACTAGTGGTTTTTATTTAAATGAAAAGAATTAAGTGTTTGAATGAAAATTAAATTAAACAAGATAAAAAAAAAAAAAAGGTTATGAGGAATAAAATTACGCCCAATAAATAAACAGTATAAAATAAACTTTTTGCCAAGTGATAAAATAATTTTCTAATTATAATTATTATAATTATCTTTTATTTAGTTTAAAAAAAATCTGACATTAAATTTACAAAATAGTATGAGACTATTCATATCTCTCTATTAAGCTATATTAAGTGTAAGTAACGGTTGGAAAAATGAACTAATAGTTTTAAACGTCAGTGTTGGATTATGATTTCACACAAATTTTGGAAAGTTTAGTAAATTCATAGACATCTCCTTGATCCCAGAAAAGAACCATGCAAAAAAAAAAGCTAAATTTAGTTCAAGGCAATTTTTTAGTGTTAACAGTTGCAACACGACAAACAAAAATAATATTTTAGAGCACGCTTTAATTGGTTTTTTTTTAAAAAAAAAGCAATTTAAAACTCTATAATTCAAATTGTTTGGCATAAATAATTTTTGACGAGTAGTTAAACCATATAAAAATTGGCAGGTCAAGGTTATCAAATGACTATTGTATCAATTGTTGAAATAAAAATTAGTTAGTCAAGGTTATCAAATGACAATTGTATCAATTGTTTAAATAAAAAAAATAAAACTTGTTTCTAAATAGATATTAAATAGACCAGTTATATAAACTTTATATTGAAACGACTTTTATATTAACATTCTTTTAATTCTGATGAAAGTCTAAGCTGTTTTGTTCAAAACTTAACGAATAAATTTATACTTTCACCTAACAAATAAACGAGGAGATCCTAATAATCGAAAGGGTCAGAAAAAAAACTATAAAATTTAATAAACAGGTGAATATTAATAAGCAGGAGAGTCAGAATATTAAATATTTCTGAAAATCTGCAGTATTTTTTAACAGGGAAAAAGGTATAAGATATGGGGCAACAGTTAGACACCACTTTTAGTAAAATTTAAAATTAACAGGTTCATTTCTACTGACATCATCTTTGGATTATCTTTTTAGCGGCTTTTATTATAGTTTATGTTGAAATAGCTTTTAAATAAGCATTATTTTAGGTCTGATGAGGGTCTAAGCTATTCAATTCGAAATATAATGAATAGATTAATACTTTCACCTGACAACAGATTCTTAACAAATGAGGGGTTCAGAATTTTAAAAAAAGTGAACAATAAAAACAAACTTTCAACCAGAAACTTTTGCCCACATTTTGAATGACTGCAACAAATAAAATTAACATTAAATCAAGTTAATCAGAAGCAACTCTGAATTAGAGATGGTGTAGCTCCTTGGATGCCACAAAGTCTACTTTAGGAGGTAGCATTACCATTTTTCCTATAATTACTGTTTATTGAAAATTATAATTATTTATTGTTTTTATACTTTAATGTTTCTTATAAGTGAATCAATGCATATTTATACATTTTTGAGATTTTAATTATTTAAGACATATAA